ACTTCTTGCCTTTGTGGGCCCTCCCCCCCCAATTTGGGTGTCCAATGTCCAAGTTGCCCATCTCTGTCTACTCTGTGTGTGAAGGGGGTGGGAATGTTTCTTGCTGTGAGGGTTTGTTCCCTTCTTTTGGGTTACTGCATCCATAGGTGTAGATCAAGTTCATCAAATTGTCTCAGATCACTCTTTTTATTCCCCCCCCTCTTCTTTCTTCTCCTCCTAGTTGAGTTCTGATCATCCATTCATCGGGACCAGGTCACGTGGGTACCATCTGCAAGTGTGGGTGTTCTTGTGGATATGCCCTCTCTTCCTATCAGCTGGTAGCTTCACTCTCCACTCTAGTCCTCTGTGGCCACGCCACTGACTCTGGGCCCAGGAGTCCCCAGGTCTCCCCACACTGCTGGCCAACCAGGTCCTCATCTGGGTCCACAGAAGCCCACGGAACATTGTAGGGCTTAGCTTGCCCATAAGGAATACTTTTACTGTATAAAATAACTCAATTACCCCAAGTATAAAAAATATGGCAACTTATATTTATAAATGTATGAGCTACTTATAAATAGTAAGTAGCAGAGATGACAGTGTCAAAATGACAGGACTTTAAAGTTCAGGTCTACATGGTAACCTTCCCCAAACCTCTTCTCCTGCCGCCACCCAACATATGTAAGAGTCCACTCTGCCATCAAAATAGATTCTTAAAGCATGAGATCGGGGGCTAGGGATGGGGCCACACGGGGAAGGTGCTATTTTCAAGATCCTACAAAAATCGAGATGATATAACTCAGTTATATTATTTGAAAAGTTAGAGAAAATCAACAAAACAACTGAAGAAAAAGAAAGAAGTGTTGAACTATCAATGAACTAAGTCAGGAAATCTGCCAAAATAACTTTGTCATCCTTGGCCAACAGAGCTCATGTGTCAAATTCCATATGCTAACACCAAGAGGCCACAGCTCCCCACACACATAAAGAGCCATGGGGCTAAAAATGAACCCTGTCTCCGAAAAGCTCTGTGAATTGGAGGCTATTAGTGCTCGACTGGGCAGACAACCACTCACCTTAATCAACTCACAGCTATATCACTGTCTACTCAAAAGATTCCTTTTCTCTTTGCTTAAGTAATTAAAGAATTTGGGTTGCATTTTACCCAATGTAGCAATAACTTTCATGCAAATAAGCTAACAACTCAACTACCAACCAATAAAAGTGAATACAGACTTAGCCGACAGTCCTTGAAAAGTTCTGAATGATTTTCAAAAGCACTCAATCCTAAAATATGAATTTTCCAGAAAACTGAGGCTTGTCTTCTGATTGCCATCTATATATAGAGAGAGCCATTGTGGTGATGGTGTGCCATGGAGTCAGTTCCAATTCACAACGACCCTCTATAGAGGTTCCAAGATTGTAAATCTTTACCGGAGCAGAAAGCCTCATCTTTCACCTGCAGAACAGCTGGTAGCTTCTAACTGCTGACCTGGAGGTTAGCAGCCCAACTCACAACTACTACACTACCAGTGCTCCTTATAGAGCTGCTAGGAAATACTATCTTCTCAAACTGATGCCAACTTACCTCCCTCCTCATGAATTACCATCACAAAAGACAATCACCTCAAAGAGGGGCTCTCAGAGGCTGGACTACTGAATGATCCTATAACTAAATAAATACAAGAGAGCTTTCACAAAGTTGGTGGGAAAATAGAATTCAAAAGATAATGGAATCTTTCCAGAAACTCTTCGAAGTCCCCTTGTATAGTTCTGTTTTCCTCCCTCTCCTGCGAAGGCTTTCATTTGCTACCTCTGCCTCATTTTTTGACACATAATCACCACAAAATGCAGTTTGTTCCTGGGCCCTGACCGTCTAGGTAATCTGAGGCAAATATTTTCTGAGGAGTCCTGGTGTGGCACTGTGTGATAAGTACTGGCCGGTTTGACCACAAGATCGGCAGTTCAAACCTAGCAACCACTTCTCGGAAACCCTATACAGGTTCACAACGAGTTGGAACCTACTCGACAGCACTTAACACCACCACCTCCAATATTTTCTGAAGAGCCACAAAATAAAAGCCCACCTGTTTTGAGCCCCATTAGGGCCTTGTTCCATAGACACCATGCCATCTGGCCAGGAGCCTGGTTGGTTAGATGGTGCTGCTTGGTTGTAAGGATTGACGCCCATTCCCATGGTAATCTCACCAGGCCCTGAGGAAACAAAGTGTATGCCTATAGCAACAATGATCATGAAACAGCTCATTTGGGTTTGGGTTAAGGAAGGGGACACTTACTCATTTGAAGCATCTGTTGCTGCTGCTGCTGCTGCTGCTGCTGTTGCAACATTGGTCTCGTGCCTGGCATGCTATTGGATCGGATGGGCAAGGTGGGCATAGAGCCGGCCACCACAGGTCTGGGTAAGGAAGTGCTATACTCCGCTCCTGGTCTTCCCATGGAGTTGGAGTTCAGAGGCTCCGTTCTGCCAGCCTTTGAGTTTGGTACGCCCCAGTCTCCTGAGGAAGCTGTCTGGTTCACAGTCACATTTCGTGTTGGTCCACCTAATAGATAAAAATGACTAGATCTTTTCATATTATAATGGAATGCTTCCTAAATCAGACAGGCAACAGCTAATATTTCAACCTGGACAATAAAAGGACTCTGTCACACTAAGACTAGGACTGTCCAACTACAGACATTTTTCTGAGGCCACTCTTCCCCTTCTACTCACTACAGGCTAAAAAAAAAGGCTTATGCTAAGAGCCTCCAGAAGGGTTAAAGAACCAAGACATAGACAAAATGAATACTCATGAAAGAAACATTATGCTAACATTTATGCAAAAACCTATAATCCCAGTGATCTAAATGGCTTTAGGAATTTTAAATTTGCTTTTCCCAAAAGCAGCTTTAAATCCTAACTACTGATTAGAAGCAGCATACCTATATTGGAGCCATAAGTTTCCTGACTGTCCATCATTCTTGGATTCCCACCTAACATGGGCTGCTTTGGTAACATGGGGAAAGCATTGGCATTCTTCACTGGGGGGCTGGAGCCAACAGACACTGGGCTATCCAGAGACATCGCTCGGTTATAGGGAGGACGAATGGCCTGCACAGATTGTGGACTTCTCAAACCTGTTGAAAACATACAAGTACAGTACATAAATATCTCCTAATGATTCAATACACAAATAAAGGTCCAGCCTGTCGATTCTGACTCATAGCAAACTTTTACAGGGTTTCCGAGGCTTTAAATTTCTGCAGTAGCAGAAAGCTTCACCTCTCTTCCATGGAGCGGCTGGCTGGTGGGCTCAAACCTTGTGGTTCACAGTCCAGGGTTTTTCTACAGAGCCACCGTGCCACTCCCCAATAATATAAGTACAGACATAAATACCATTACCCACCCACCCAAGAACGCCTTCCTAACAAAAATAAACACTGCCTTCCTTTGCAAAATAAACATTAAACAAGGGGGTGGGAGTTTTATATATATATATATATATATATATATATAGCTGTGGGTTAATGCGCTGGACTGTAAAGATGGTTTGAACTGCAAGGTCTGTAGTTCAAGTTCACTAGCTTCTCCTTGAAAACTCTATACAGCATCACTATGGGTCAGAACCGACTTGATGGCAGTTAACAACAACATCATGCTTGGACTCCAAATAAAGTAGACACAAGAATCTGAGCCTGGCTAAGGTACTGGCCACTGTTGTGTAGCCCAATATTGTTGATGTTGTGAAGTGCTGTCGAGACAGTGCCAATTCATAAAGACCCTGTACAGTGTTCCAAGAAGTGGCTGAGGAGTTCAAATCACCAACCTTGTGGTTCAAACTGACCTTGCAGTCCAGTGTATTGACTATCCCACTGTGCCACAACAAGACTCCCGATGTAGTCCTTCACATTCTGCCTCACGAACTACTGAAAGAGCTGCCAGCACCTTAAGCTCCTCCAAGTTCTTCTTCCACATGTACACTGACTGGCTGGCTGAAGGGTTTCTCTCAGACCAGGAATGAAATATAAAATTTCCTCCTTTCTCTTTGCCCAAACTATTTGATTGGTTTGTCTGCATTTCTTTCATTTTATAGGAAATGTCATTAAAAATAAATTACCATCGTTCTGGATAACTGTGAATTATTCATTTCTCATTTGATTATATGCAAATATCTGAGTCAGACTATGAGATAGCAAACACCAAAGAAGAAAACTTGACCAAATGACAAGTTTCATGAATGTCAAAGGACATTAGTTTTGTTTTAATTCAACTCTCTGTAGCTAAGAAAAATAAACACCCTAGCATTTACAATTCATCTGCAGTAAGCAAAGATGAACAAGTTCCTCTAATTGGCATAACTAATCAAAAAACCAAACCCACTGCCACCGATTCCCAATCACAGCAGCACTACACAGGGCTTCCAAGACGGCAAATCTCAACTGGCATCATACTAGTGAGAAATAGGAAAGGGAAAAAATAGGAGAATGTTCCGGCGGTTTTGTAAAATGCAGACATTCTAAAATAGCATAGCAAACAGAGAGGCTGCATGTGTGTTTTGTGTTGTATGTGTGAGGTGGATTCGGATCTTGGTTGAAAGAGTGCACACAAGTATTCAAAAACATTTCAAAGTCAACAAAAATAAAGCTTAGTTCTTTCCTTACCCAGAGAATTAGTTCCTTGAAATATTTGTTGCTTGGTTCCCAGATTACTACCATTTGAGGATACAGAATTACTGTAGAAATCTGAACTAGTCAGATCACCAAGAATAGCATCTAAATTATCTAAGTCTCCAGGGCCCTGAAAATAAATGTAAAGTTGATCTTTGTTTATGACAAGATATATAGGTTTAAACATGTTCATCAAAATAAAAAATGGGAATAAACGAAACACAATATTGACCTAAAATGATAGTGCCCGACTAACAGCTTATAGTCTTTATGCTTATTCTCCTTCTCTGAGTAAGAACAGTTTAAACCGAGATAAATCACACATTTTTATATACTCTATAGACAGTCAACAAATTCTCAAGCAGTGGGAAGATTTTCCAGCTACCATCAGTTACCAGCATTAATGAGATCTTTCGCTGACAGAGATGTCTGCACCTACCTGTACCTTCTGGAAACAAGCACTGAGTAAACACAAAAGAAACACGCTGGCGCCTAACAAGGTGTCATAGGTGTGCTCCAAAAACAAAAAAGGCTTTTAGCCAAAACTTAGTGAACAGTAGGTTCCCAACTATCAGGCTTCCCCATGTCTGTCATTTGCTCAGGGGCAGATTAACATCTCCTAGAATAGCATTCCTCAAGCAGAAGCTGAGAGACGCTTATATAGACTGTGATCTGGTACATGAAACCTAGTTTTTAGGTAAAATTCAAAAACTTCTGTTGCTTAAAACAAACATTTTCTTCCTTAGTGGGTGGGACCAGTGTGCTCAGTGAGTGCGTCAGGTAAAATGATTCAAATTACTAGTAAAAGGTTAGAGCTCCATCTTAAATCATACACATTTGGTATTTCTAAATTGCATCAGAACAAAACAAAAACAAAGAAAGCCATAATGAAAATTAACATCCTTTGTTTTTTTTTTAAACTAAAATAAAAGATCAGAATTTATATACAACACATTGTCTTTCTAAAAGTTAAAATGCAATGATGAACACAATGGCCAAGCTGGAACGTACAGAAAGCTTACCTCTTCATTTGTCTCTGCCTTAATTTTCGAGTCTTTTTCTTGACTCGAGTTAGGAATGGTGGAGCTGCCACACTGGCTCGTCTTGTTATCAATGCCTTCCGCTTTGGGCTGGAGCTCTTTGGAGAGGGGGTCACTAGGATCATCCCGGTCCAGCAGGTATCTGAGGAGCGCGTTATTTTCCTTCTTCTTCGGACTCAGCTGCTCCTGCTTGACGTTTCCATCCCCACAAGGCGCTGTACTGTTGGTGTCCCTCCCGGTGGCTTCTGCTGTAATCTTAGCTACTTCCGCTGGAGAATTCCCATTCTGCAGCAACTTGTGCAAAATCCTGTGTTTCTTTTGCAACAGTGACCCATGCACATTGGATGTGGAGGACACGCCTCCTGACGTGGAGGAGGAAACTCCAGAAGGGCTGGTGACACTCAGGGCGGAGTCTTTGCAACTCGGATCCAGGGGAGAGCTGGTCAAGGAGGAATGGCCCCGATCATCCGAAGAATAGGTAAGCAACTGCAGTAATTTCTTATGGCCTTTGCTTTCCAGTGGACCCCCCCTTTGAGTATCTGACCCTTCAACACTGCTCTCTTTACTTTCTTTGTCATTGAGATGATCCCTACTATTGGATGGACACACTGAACTCTCCACGGGATTCGGGTCACAATATAAGCCGAGAGGACTCTTGGAATCCTGGCTGTTGACTTTACTTGGCTGGGTTATGTTCATATTGGGAGAGTTATCCAGCTTAGGGCCTGGTGAAGACAGGGTAGATAAAAGTGAAGTCCCCACACCCTCGCTGATAGCCTGCAGGGCACTGAGAGAGCTACTGGAAAAGCTATGGCTACCGGCATGGCCAGAAGATCCCATGGGAGAGTGCACGCCTGGAGTTGGAGAAAAGGAAGGAAAGCGGGTTAGACTACAGTATACAGAACAAAACCCCGCTTCGTTCCTCAAAGTTTCAACTATACAATGATTTGATTTTACAAGAATTACAGTGGAATAGAGAGAAAAGAAGAAATGCTAAAAATAATAATAGGAACTGCCAACGTGGATACCTGCAACAGGGGAAAACTGATGTGAGGCCATCTTTGGACTCCCACGGTTACGAGGTGAGATCATGATATTCTGCTGGTTGGAACCAAGACCAGGACTCCCATGAGGGGGGCTACTCATGCTGAGCCCATAGTTGTTGTTCTGGTAGGAAGGTGGTGACTGCATGCTTGGCCCAGGGTTCATGGAAGCGATGTTACTGGCGCCTCCATACCTAGCTCCACTCAGCTGCCCTGAGGTACTGGGCTCTGCAAGGCCATAGGTCCTGCCGCTCAGCATCTGTAAGCCTTGGTTCGGTGACATGCTCATGCCACCTACTGAACTGTTGCATCCAGTTAAAGGAGGCCTAGTGCCTTGTCCATGAGAATTGGGGTTGGGTCTATAGCCATTCTGTTCTCTGCAAGCAAAAAAAAAACAGCAAACTTTCACTAAAAAATTGAAACACGTGTCAAAGCCCTGACTCAGATAAACAAAGGACGAGGTGAGTGCAGAGGAACCACAGGTCTCTCACACCACCTAATACCTAGTGACAACACATTAACAGTATTAATCTACTATTACCCTACTATGTGTACTGTTACAAGCTGCAGACACCACTGAGAAGGAACAACAGCCAGGTTACATGAATCCCTTGCTGTTTTTCTGAGGTGCTCCTGAGTTAACGCCAGATGACAAAGCAGAGCTGCCCCACAGTTTTCTTGGCTGCACTATTGATGGAGGCAAAGCCGCCAGGTAGGTTTGAACCACCAGCCTCTCAGTTGGGAGTCTAGTGTTTAACCGCTGCATCACCAGGCTCCTAACAGTGCTTAACTAGAGTCGCCACATATCTAAAAGTGGCAGTGGGAGGGGCCTACAAATTCTTCAAGATGATTAAGTGGTGACTATCTGCCTTCACAGGACTCTCATGTCCCATCCGCAACCAATACAGCTACACTTCGCAGCAAGAGGTAAACCGTAAACTTGGTCCTTAAAAGAGATCTGAAGTATGATTGTAAACGAAAGGTAAAAGACTGCTCACAATCTTTCACTGGCAGCCTGCACTCACACACTTTCACAGAAAAACACCACCTTAAAAATCCCAATCATAATCCAGAAACCTGAATTCACTTCAGCAAAGTCAGTAATTAGCATGCTTTTTTTCTCTCGTTTGTACATCAACCGTAAAGCATCTTGAGATGACTGGTGCACTTAACAGGAAGATGTACAGTAATCTAGCTTTACCTCTGAAGAAAGTGGGTGGAAACAAAGCCATGACGATCATTTGTTACGGGATTTCGGAAGAGTTTGCTTTTCGTTTGTGCAGTCACTAGAGTCCCATCAGCCAAAGAGAAGCGGTACACTGGGGTTTCTGCATGCCCATGGATGTAAGCTGTTGGGAAAAAGATCTCGGTCCTAGTAATGGCAATCAGCAAAATGTTTTTCAAGTGCAACGTTTTCAAATTCCAGTATAACCCTGAATCTGCACCAAAATTAAGAAAAGGCTAAAATACTAACATTCAAGAATCACTTTTCTGTCCTCTTACCCATGACCGCTACTACCATGTGTGAGGCAGTGACTGTGTGCCACAGAGTTGGTTCCAATTCACACTGACCCTGATTGATACAGGGTTTCCAAAGCTGTCAATCTTTACAGAAGCAGAAAGTCTCATCTTTCTCCTAAGGAGCAACTGGTAGATTCGAACTGCTGACCTGCAGTTAGGAGCGCATTCCTAACTCGTAATCCATTATGCTACCAGGGTTCCATCATCTGTATGGTTAGAGCTTTATAACATATCAAACAAGATGACAAACAATCGCAAGAATTAATTCCAAAATGTATCACCTTCTTGGTAGTGACGTTTCTGGGACCATGCCTGCCCATCATGCAGACTGAAAAACCTCTGGATACACCTTCGGATTATATCTTCAAAGCCAGGCCTCATGGAGGATCTCAGAGAATTTGTATCTATATTGACAACTTTTCCTATTAACCAGAAAGTAAAGATAAGTATGAATACCTTTTGAGCTTTTTTATCGTCTTATACAATGATTTTACATCAAAATGTTCTGTAGAGTACATCAAAGTACCCTACATACAAACACACACAATGACTTTTACTTGACGGACATGGGGAGTGTAACTTGTCCAAACGAACAAAGGTTTCATTTTCATTTATAAAGAAAAAAACTAACGCCTTCCAGAAAAACTATTAATCTGACAATATTCTGTCTCTGCTACCATGAAGCAAAAGAAAATTCCTGCTTCAACAGCGAGTAGAGAAGATTTTTTTCCATCTGGAGTGAATGCATATTTTTGTACATTTGAATTCTAAACTGGGGGGGTATAACCCAATACTCATGTCTACAAGTCTGCAAGTCTCTGACAACTTTTGTTTAGCATAAAATATACAAATAGACCTCATCAAAACTGCTATGAAATTGAAGACAGCTTTACGAAGAAGCTGTTCCCCTTTGTAAACAGCTAGGCTTTTCCACTTTATGAGTAGTACCATGGCAGTTCACATCAACAAAGTCCTTACAAAGAGTGTCAAGAAGAAAATGAAATCAATCCATTTTCTAAGTAAGCAGGGTATCATGTGAGAGTACCAGCTATGTTCAATATAAGAAACATTAGGAAAAACACTAGTTACAGGGACTCAAGGAGCCAAAATTGCACCTAAGGGTCTCCAGAATGTGGGGTTTTTTTAAGTGAGTCTTGCTGATCTGCAGAATGATGAAGTTCATTAAGAAAATGCAACAGAATTACCAGGGCTATTCAAGGCAAAACTGCCTCATCAACTAGCATGGCTCTTACTTGTGACAAAATATGCTGCAAGGTCATAAAAAAATGTCAAACAGGTTGATTTTAAGACCACCAATGGTTGTTTTGAATTTTCTATGCATAGCTGTAGGGGAGAGAAGAGACCCCACACCTTCAAATAAATAAATATTAGAGAGACTCTTTATTAACAGGAATCAAAACAAGACAAAGTAAACATAAACCACCCAGGTGAGGGAAATCATTATGAACTTCCACATGGTGGTGACCTTTTGTCAGGCACAGAGAACAAAGGTGTCTCTTCCCACAGCACCACTGAAGGTAGCAATGTGTCACCTATGCATGCCAGGCCTACACAGGAAACTACTGCAGGTAGGACAGCTTACAGACTGTCTCTGAGGCTTCCCAGGTACAAGACCACAACCAGGTAACCACTAAGGGGCATGCTCAAGAAAGGTCCTGCTGGGGCCAGCTGGGGGGAATGGCCCCAAACCCACTTTTAAATATCCTCTGCTTCTACCTCTGGCAGTTCAGCTGTCAGACCACATTAGGTACTCAGGGAAAATAAACTGGGAGAGTTATCTGCAAGTGAGAACCCTTAAACCTAGGCACAAGGTGGAATTAAGCTCTGGCTGGCAGGAATCGTTCGCAGGCAAAAAGCCTTCAGATTTCATGTTCTCCAACAGCAGGGTCCTACTACATATCACCCCACTCGGGTTCAAAGGACTGCTTACAGTCAGCACTAACAGGTCCACCAAATCCAAAAGGCAATGAAGATTATAACCTGGAAAACTGGGTAAATGACTTGGAGAAGGTAGTCAATACACTGATTCAAATCAGAAAGTTAGAGAAAAGGCCTGCCTGCCAGTCTATCCACTCCACGATGTGCTCCTTAGAAAAGTGAAAATGCTGAAGGCGGCCCAATACGGACTGGGGTAATGTATGGGGTTTCATAATGAAGCCAGCTCTGGAAATGCCATGGAGGCTGAGCCAGGCACTAAGGCAGAATGAGCTGATGGGTTTGAAGCACCCATCCAAGAATCTGTTTAAAATAGAAATTATAGTAGTGACAAATAAAAGTCGGATTTAGTTGGCTACACAGAAGAAAAAAGTGTTCCAGGAAAGAGAAAGACATATGCTCAGATTAAGGATGATCTCTTCTCAATCCCTACCCTTAGTTTAGCCCACAACCGCAAAAAAAAAGCTCAGAATGAAGGAATAGGCAAATACTATAAAACCTTTCTACGATGGCCAAAACAAGTACTGAGTGAATATAGCAAACCTCCTCCCAAACAACAGACAGAAAAGCAACTGGAATATACCAACTATTATGCGGATATTAACCAGAAAAACACATTTGATGGGTTTTGCTAGGTATTTACTAACCTTTATAAACAAAAATGCATTGCTTTGGTAAATAAGAAAACATTTAAGAAACCATTTCTAAAGATACTATCTTGTTAAACTGCTTAGGCAAATATGTTTTATTTAGTATCTTCAACAACAAAATTAAGAGAGAAAATGAAGACTGCCCTATCACCACGAGGCCCAGAGCATCCTCTCTACTCTAAAAGGAACAACACACAGAAATCCCTGACAGTACAGTTGATTTTCTCAAGGTAACAAAATAAAGCAAAACTTTTCCAATGTAAAATAATATCCATCAGTGTAAACAAATCGACAATCCAGAAAACAAACAACTCTTTCAATACTTTTTTTCTTTCCATTTGTGCAAATCTCAATAGCCTTAAAGTAGTTAACTGAGGTTGGTACTGAAAGGTTGAATGACTGTGAAAATAACTATTTATAATAAAATCTTATGGCAGCTATGTTTTATATTTACATCTGCTCCATTTAGCAACTCACTGAGTGTCTACAAATACACTACGGTGCAAAGTAGTAATCATGTGGTACACAGCAGAGTACACACTTGGAAGTCAGCAGACTGAAGCTCAAATTCTCTTCTGAGCCATGATCTTAGTTAGTCAACACAGTCCATGTCATGAAACCTCTGTTTTCCCAAAACATCCATGTATGTCTTCCCATACATGGTAAGCCCTTTGCATCATCATGCAAAGTCTCAGGTGATAATAAAAACAATCTTGAAGGTGAGCACAGATAATATTGCCATGATGCTATTAATCTTATTAATTGCCACTGTCTTTAATTATCTACTCCCAAGGTCAGTCACAAAGTGGCAAATCAACATTGATACTCATGGTGATGTTAGGAATGATTCCTAGTAAGCCTCATTAAATTACAGCTTTTTTTTTTAAACCGTGTTTCTTTATGATAAATGGGTTTGAAAGTTACGGAAGAGAAATACTAAATTCTCATCCAAAATGCTATTTGGAGAGAGCCAGGTGTCTTCACATTTGTTTTGAAATTAACTTATTTGGGAAATCTTAAGTGTCGACATTCCCAACTCATATGACACGGGTCCTAATGAAGCTCCCTTAAAGGGGAGTTCTCTGCAAAAAACAAAGATTGACACATGCAAAGCATTCATTACACTGGATAAAGGGAATTAAATGATAGTGAAGGCAGTAAAAGCAGTTTCACTTATGCAAAAAATTCTAAAACTGAACAACTCACACACAGAGCATCCTTACCTGAAAGGTCATGTCGAGTAATGAAGCTCTCTGGATTTGACGGGAACACTCTTTCTCCTGTGGTAATGCGGCGTGCCACACAGATCATACAGGACTGCAAATCTACAATTTAAACCGTAACCAGGTGAGGACTCTATTTACCTTCTGGATATGTCCATTCAAGAGGCTAAGAAGGACATGTAATTCAGGAAGAAGTTACAACAGTGGAAATTTAAAGCAACGAATCTGTCTGCTACTTGCTTCAGACACATTACTCTTACCTTCCCCTTCCTCCATCATGGCACGTGGCTGGGACAGGGCAAAGCACTGCATTGTTTCATATCGCTGACGTAGTTCAGGGCTGGTGCTTACGTCTTCCAGACTATCGTGTGGTGCTTTCATTAACATACGGCAATTAAATGTATGGCTTTTTTGTCTCTGTGTCTCATTTGTCCAGGTAACTCCATTAACTTCGGAAAACAAATTCAAAAGTGTTTGTTTTAATTTGGTAATTATTCTGTGACTGTGGTGTTGTGAATTATCTAATGTCTCTTCTGGCCATATTCTGTACTCCCACCACACAATGTTTCTACCCTGCTGGGTCTGGGAAAGAGAAGGTGGAAGAAGATATCGGTAGGATGGCTTGATTCAGCTATGGATGTTAGCAGAGTTCTAACTATAAAAACTTGAAACTCTAGCATGGGTTTAAAATGAGCTATCTCGGAGGCAGGAGAGGGGATATCTCACTACCATCAAAGAAGAACCAGGAACAAAGTGTGTCCTGGGGACCCTGTGCATTGAGCCTCCTTGACCCAGGGACAGAAACTTGAGAAGCAGTAGAGAAGGGTCAGCAGAAGAGCCAAGAGCAAGAGCGAGAACAGTGGTCCTCCCAGCCCAGGAAGCATGTAAAGCTGAGTGACTACAGCCAGGAAGCTGGCCTGCAGAGTAGGGGGCCTCCAAGCACTTAAGATGAGGAGCTAGGTTTGTGGACCCACAGAGCTAGAGTTGTGTGCCTTCAGGCTGAGACATACAGTAGAGCAGCGTGTTCTGTTGGCATTCATCAGCAGCTGACTGGAACAACCGCTCTGAACATTTTCTGATCATGAATTATAACATGTTAACTTCCCTAATAAACCCCGTCACTGTAGATAGGGTGCCTGAGTTCTGTGTGGCCGTTGCCATGAATCATGGAACCCAGCAGAAAAGTAGACAGCTCTATGGGAGGGATGGCTGATGCTATGTAAGGGTTTTGCAGCGAATGCCAACAAAAATTTGAGCTCTATTTTCTCATTACACTTTTCTGTCATAGTAATATCTACACTAACATTTCAGAGCAGTAATGTATAAAATACTGAAAGATTTCAACTTCAACATATCTCGCAATAACTCACTGTATACTTTGCTCCCATGAATTACATACTAAATTCTAAATTCGTGAGGTCACATGTTAAACTTTTGTTATTAGTCACTTGCTTTAGATCACTTGGCTTCCCAAAAAAAAAAAAAAAGATCTATTCCATTTTCTAAGGTATGATCAAGGAAGAACTTCAAACTACATTTTCAGAAAGCACACATTAAGAGTCACCTGTAGATTTTGGCAAGTTTTTAAGAAAATCCTTTCTGTCTTCTTCATGTAAAATACTGTAGACACTTGTATTGACCAAGTCCTCTTGCTTATATTGCAGGTATTGTGTGACATTTTCTGACACAAATACAATGTTTCCGTCTCGATTCACCACAAAAAGGAAACCATCCAGTGCCTAAAATGTAATCAGAATTCAGTATCTGCCTGACCACTACTTACTGCAAACTACTATCAGCCACTATTTTTATGCATCTTAACACCGTTACTACAGAGTTTTATTATTTAAAACTTTTACAAAGATAAAAATAAGGTCAACATAAAATCAGAATTACATCTTCAAAGGCGCATTTAAAACTTAGACAATTATCCTCAGGTCTTTCTATATATGCACGTGATGCCAACGCAAGCCAAAAGAAAGATTACTCCTTCTTATTGTTGTTGTTGTAGAGGGCGACTGAGTCGGTTCCAACTCATAACAACCCTTTATAGAGTTTTCCAAGGAGCCACTAGTGGTTTTGAATTGCTGACCTTGCGGTTAGCAGTTCAGTGCTTATCCTACAGCACCACAGCAGGGCACTATTCCTTAGTGGGAATTTATTAAAGGGATATAAAAAGTGATCAACAAAAATGCAGCTGTAGCCGACAAGTTGGGGGAAACAACAGAAACAAAAATGTTGACCAGTCTACTTATAGAGCCCTTGAGACCCTGCTTTGAAATAAACCAGTCTGTAAGTGCGTAAGTTAATCGGGTCGGATACATGTAAGGCAGCAACTGAACAAAATATAGACATTTTTCAAACAGAAAAGTTCCTTAAAAATACAGCACTGATTGTTGTGTGCCACCTAATGAATCATGACAGAAAAGCACAAGAAGTCTGAGCTATGCTATATCCAAATGCTGTCTCGGGTCCGTGAGCTACCTCTCCCTTCTTGCTTCTTTGTACTTCATGTGTGTGTGCTTCCCCAGTTTGCAACTCCGTTTTTTATAAGAAATGCAAACTCCGAAATTATGTATATTGAAAACATAAGAAGTTCATCGCCATATTCAGAATACTGAGTTCTGTCTCACAGAAAGAAACAGTTTATTTTTGCTCTCATTTCGTAACCAAAATTTCATCCTTTTTGTTTTTTAAATCAATTGATAGCACAACCAAAATACAACAAAGCTTACTGGGTATCTAAAACCTTTATACATGCCTGCAGTAAAAGTGGCCCTAAGGAATCTTTATCAATAACTCCTTGTCCAGTAGAAGATACATCAGCTTTCTGAACATCATCATCACTGGAAATCGCTTTTCCTGAAAAAAGGGACAGCAGTATTACAAATACTAAGTTTATCAATTATACATGGAAGCTTCGAGAAGTTGGTAGAAAAATGCAATTAAAAGATTGAAATTTTTCCACAAGCTTTTTGAAGCCCCCTCCATAGATTAAATCGTCCTCAAGACAGACACACGTGTGTGTACAAGTAGACACAAGGTAATTCCTGGTAGGAGATGATGCTGCCAGCTTTAAATTTTTAAAAGAAACTTCCCAGTTACCCAGAAAGGCAAAAGACATACAAAATTCTCTTTTACTACTAGTCACCTAAAGAACAAGGGGGCAAAAATATAAAGGTAAACACAGTTAACAAGTTCCTTTCTAAAAGATTTGAGTGTTTTTCTTACTTTGTATTACCTTGCTCTTTTATTTGACGTATCTGTCTTACTGTTTCCTTTAAAATTGCACATTTATCTGGTTTGACATTGAAATTGTCAATATCACTGAGATTAGCAGATATCAGCTCAGCCAACTCTTCAATATATTTACTTTCCTGCTCCCTTCTCCACTTTTCACCACTGCAAGTATGACTATGAGAGAGAAAGAAAAAAACCATGAATATACCCCACACAAAAAAAGTTGTAAGCAGGACCAGCTCCCACATACTGTCATTAATTTTATATGTAATCAAACTAAATTTAGCCACGAGACGCTAGTAACACATCATCTTGGAGAGGCAGCAACAACATAGTGGAAATTCATGTAAATTTAAATTCAATTCCGTCTTTTTGTGAGCTGGGTGGTCACCTGAAGCAGGTTAGCCTGAGTTTCCTCATCCGGAAAATGGGAGTAATGAGTGCGCCTTTGGAGAGATAGTAAAGCAGCTAAAAAAATAATTAAAAGAATGGTAGCTACTTACTATGAAAGACAAGGTTTTATTCATTGTAGGTTTTGTTTCATATTTTTTAACTATGACTTTGAACTTAAAATGATCTTCACTTTGACACAATACTAGCTGCAGAGTAACACTGTTTTACTGTATTTATTTGTATTTCTTTAACCTTATAATGGTGGTACCTTACCAATGCCACAGTAACATTTATTATGTATTGCTAACAGACAGCAAGGAGTCCTGGTGTGGCTCTGTACCGAAAGGTTTGTTTGAACCACAAGGTCAGCAGTTTAAACTCACCAGCCACTCCTCGGAAACTCTATACAGGGTCGCTGAGTCGGAAGGACTCGAAGGTACTTAACAACAACAATAGATAGCAAAGTCTCTTACATATAAAAGAACCTTGTCAGCTACTCCAGCCGCCTCCATTCATAAATGCTTCTCACAATACCAAAGACTATTAATCTAATATTCTAGCTTCCATCACCATCAGCAACAAAAGCTTCTCCTAGGGAAATGCCAACCTCACCATTTTACCACAATCATACTAAGCAAAACCAAAGCAATCAGAAAATGTAAACAGCAGGAAGCTGGAATTGTATCCTTAAATAAAACATGGCGTTAGGAAACAACAGGAACTAAATAACTTACCCTTGTCCTGGGTTGTCACATGGCAATTTGCGTTTCCGTGAATCAGTGGCCAGAGGATCCAAGGAGTTGTCTCCTAATCCACTCATCTTGAATATACATCAGCAACTAAGAAAGAAACAGAGAAAAGACAACCATGACTCTATAAAGGTGTATGTGTTTGAATGACTGCCTCTTGCAACGGCAGTACTAGGATCTCTAAATGGTTGGACAATGCCCAATTCCCTTTATCATAAATGAGTATTCTGAAGACAATCTCTGAATTCATACAATGGTTTAATTACACAAACTGTCCAACTCAAAGGTAGTTGGTCCTGCTAATGATGTGTGTACTGAATATATCACTATGAATAAGACCTCTTAAGATTTAACAACAATAACAACAGTAAAAGACAAACTACCAAGGTTTTGATACTGATAAAAGCCTAAGTTATGGAGGAACAAACAAGATGGTGGATCAGGTGGACATGTAGTACAGAGCTCC